GGAAAAGTAGATAACCAACTTTCCCGGAAAGTAGATATTTCCCATTTTCTATGATACAAATTTCCCGTTTTCTATGATAAGTAGATAACCAACTTTCCCGGAAAGTAGATATTTTCCCATTTTCTATTATACAAATTTCCCGTTTTCTATGATAATCTACTTCGCAAAATTAGGTAATATTTCCCCAAAAGTCGATAAACTACTTGCCCAAAAAGTCGATAATCTACTTTCCCGATAGGTAGATAATCTTTTCGGAGTAGATAATCTATTCCACAATCAAAACGTCGACTACACATTCGAAATCAGCATACTCACGAGTACCTATAATGTGATTTTCAACAAAATCTAATTTTGGCCCAAAACTGTCGAAAATGTAATTATCCGAGATATTACTGAAGTTTAATGTATGGTATGTGAAGAAAATTAATGCTGTAAATCTTTAAAATCTTTATTATCACTGTATAAATTAGAACCTTGATTAAGATAATAGAAATTTAATTTATAATTAAAGCTATAAACTTATGGCAGTGATTCTTGAAAATAAATTGACAACATAAAATACATGACAGAAGTAACAAGTACTTATTATTATGCCAGACCAATAGTGTGAGACAAACATAAAAGTAAGCTGCAGTACAATGAGAATACATGTGAGTGACGATACACGAGATGCTTAGATTAAAACTTAATTACAGCACAGTAAGTACAAGATCTTAGTGTCCTAAAACAATATACATTATTATAGAAATTTTAATAAACTAATCAAATAAAAATCCTGACCAGTTTTTCACCAACCTACATGACCATACTCGACCATAAACACTATATGTGGGAGTGATCTGTGAAATGGCCAGTCAGTCTGTATACCAAGCTTTAGAATACCTAATAAACTCAGAAAAATCCGGAGGCAATGATGATGCAGATGCATTTTTCGTGCATACAAATACTATACTACGGAAATAACCATTTACAGGGTATTAAAGTTTGAACCCAGGACTACAAGGTTTGAAGACCCAGGCAACAGCCACTCAGCTACCACGGATTACATGCGATTTTTTACTTGCTGGTAGTAGAATGATTATCACCTGGGTATCGTATCCTGGTAGCCCTTGATTCGACCCCAGACAAGAGGTTGTTTTAGTTATACATATACAGTAATATATTTGACATAATTTACTTATATATTTGTTGGAATTAACTGGCTCAAGATTGCTAGATCATGAAATTAATACAGTTTATGATGAAAGGATGTACAATATTTTTACAAAGATATATACAGGGTACATACAGTTTTTTCCCTTCAGGGTTTTACACATTATATATATTTATTGATGACACTATCTCTTAGCTGTGTCATATATACTATTTATTATTAAATTTATGGGAATATTGTGTTAATGTACAAATTCAAAACAGGACCAAGATATCCATCTATTGCTATACATCATTACATATAAATCCTATGAGTGAGGGTTTCTAAACAATAACTTCATACATCCAGGTGCAAGATAAAAGTTTTATCATAGGAGGAAGGTTGGGAAAATAAGTTGGTAGTTCAGTCAAGAGATCTTTTGGTAACTAGAAAATTCTGAAGTTTAGAGGTAGATGCCAAAGTATCGATTCCAGAGACTTCACATAAAACTTACCAAGGAAGAACACCAATACTTCAGCTTAATGAAAACAAAACCTCAGTAGAGCAAAGTGGTTACTCTTTAACTACATATTGATATACTATTGTAATGACATTATTCTAATGTTTTTAATTAAAGTCCCACAATTATTACTACATACAGCTATGTTGATGCTCATGTCTCCGTGAATTACTAAAATCATACTGTCCTGAATTGGAAACCCACTCAAATGCGATACTCAGTAAAGCTTACTTTCACCACTGATAGAGAGCTTTATACACTGTCCTCAAGATAAATGAAGTAGGCTCCAGAAGCCAGGTATCCATAGTTTGGGAACTTCATTGTTTTCGAAAACGGGCAACTTGCTATCTAGAGACAAATGAGTTGTTAACAAGGTAAACGACACGTCAAGTGAACAATACAATATAATATTCATGCCAGCATTTATGATAACAATTTTCCAAATGAATTGTGAAGGTTTCAGTTATCATAAACAACAGTTATGGGTATTTTAAATACATTTAGGTTCGGAGGCATTTGATTACACTGGTGGATGGTCATAAGTCATATTAATGCAACTTCTGTATTGGGATAAATTAACTCGAGCAAATCCAGAAAAGAAATAAAAACACTTCACATATAATTTACATAAATCCACTGTACATATTGTACATTTAAGTCCTTCTGTGCTTACTTAAGTATTAATTCATGGACACGTCTGATGACCACATGTGAACCAAGGGCGAGCTGCGGAGATGGCATAATATTAATTATTTTGGCGAAGGACTGAAAAATCCACCCACCACAGACCTTTTAATAAGAACCATAATTAAACACGAATATCAACTAATAAAAAATAAAAAATTTCAAGGCACTTACGTGGCCAAAGAGAAATAAGTCCTCTTGAACCCTTACATTGAAGCTATTGGTAACCGAGCTGAAAACATCTACAGACAATAAGATTTTGTCCAACGAAAGGCTGTAATTCAAAATAGCAAATGTGCATTGAAAAAGAAAAAAAAGGCTACTATAGACAATGGCTTAAGTTAATATTTAACAAAACAACGAAATTAGTAATTTATCATTCAGCATCATCGAACCTGACAGACAGCCTTAAGTGTGTGTACACACACTTTCTGTTTACCCGCAATACTCGACCAGGAGTGGAATACAAAATGAATTATTCCTTATATATTTATATAATCTTTAAAACTGAGCTACATGAGCAGTCAATCAAACTTATTAAAAAACTGCCTTACTTTCAGACCAGGACGGCCGCCTACTAATGATGATCGCCTGAGCTCGGGGTGTCTTTGGCTTGACACCTGCTGACTTGTGTTACGCAGTCAGTAATAACTCCATAGCATCACTCAAACACCTTGGGCTATGCGTGTTGTATTTATCAATTACACAAAATAAACAAGTAATGTTACCAAGACCAGATGTTTACCTCCGTGCACTAGTAATTCAGTAGATAAGCGCCAATACAGCCGTGTGTGGGTGTCCAGGAGGCAACAGGCGACAGCAAGCTTTTTGTAAATGACCCACATGAATAATTTACTGTATTGTACGTGAAGTGGATGAAGGGAAGAACCGGAGAATAAAATTCCCTTTTCCTTCAAGTACAGGTTTCTCCCAAATACACAATATGGCTGAAAACTTATTATTATCTCTGCCACGTATCATGCTATAAATTACGTTAAGAATAAGAGAGTTCAGGGTAGGATAACATTAATTTTAAGACCATAGGCCTTTTTCTCTTTGCTTGATTGATTATATTATCAAAATATATGGAGCACCTCAACATACAAGTAGATCATAAAATTAAAAGAATAAACGAAAATCAAATTAACGATTTACAGAAGAATTTCACCATAAAAAATTCTTAACCTGGATTGTTCCAGTTCCCTTGCTTTTCTACACAATCACCTGTCATACAGTTGATATTAAACTTTTCTTTTACCCTTGTTACATATAGATAAGTGTCAACCTCTGCGACCAGGCACTTTTAGTCCTCTGCCAGGGCCCTACAGTCAGACGTTGGCTGTTGAGCGAGTCCTAATGAAATGATAATCACACGAGAAAAACCACTGATATACAAGTTTTTTCTTCAACTTTTGGCAAACATAAAAAGTCACAGAGGCATCATCACAATAAGCAGTGATGTATGGTGAGTTGCTTCTCTGTTACGTTCACCTCCCAGTAACACATCACTTGTCCATTTTTCAGGTAAGTTTATAGCATCACAGCATTTCCTGTCAGCAGGGAAATCAGCTAAGCTCGACGGGGATGTCAGCCCGTCCCCGCTGGTCGCTAGCCGTGATGAAGGAAACTGTTGATAAAAGTACTGAAATTAACAAAATATATGATAAGATACTGACTTAATTGTGCCTGACTATCTGCTTAAACCAGGTCAACTATTGAACAGTTAAAAATAAACACGCACACATATATTGAATTGTACAGTTCCACACAGAAGTTCGTTATATACCCACAGGAAGGAGCACATAGCCTGTTGCACCCTTCCTGGATGCCAGGTCACTACGCCGACCCACCCACCAACAAAAAGAGTGGAACTGACAACTCGTCAAAAAGAGATAGTTAGATTATTAATATCAGCCAACGTTACTGCTGATGGATGATGATGTGTTAATATCTTGCTTATGAGACGATAACCATAGTGATAGGAGTAACCATTCCAATATTAGAATACAATGAAGACTCTTAATATACTATGAGCTTTGTTCAAATGCCCCTTATAGCATTCATTCAAAACCGATTTCCCCATTGTATTCTAATATTGGAATGGTTACTCCTATCACTATGGTTATCGTCTCATAAGCAGGATATTAACACATCATCATCCATCAGCAGTAACGTTGGCTGATATTAATAATCTAACTATCTCTTTTTGACGAGTCTACATTCAATTCTAATTGTTCCGTTGTCAGTTCCACTCTGTGTTGGTGGAAGGTTCAGCATAGTTATCTGATGTCCAGAAAGGGTTCAAAGGGCTATGTGCCCTTCACCGCGGGTGTATAACGAACTTCTGAACGGAACTGTACATATGACAGGACAATATAAGACGATAAAACTGAATTAAATATTAAATATCTCCTTAGGTTTGCCAGAGTAGAAGATCTGCAGTATGAATTTATTTGTCTGATCACAGAACTTAGGATATGGAGAAGTATCAAGCGTATACTCACGCCATTCACCTGAAGGCACAAAGAGAGAACACACCTTTATCATCTTACAGTGAACACTTATAAGATTGTGAAATCAAGTAATTACATAATTTCTCACTACTGTACACTGAACCAAATTGGAGGTCAAGCTACATTAATAAGCCTGTTTTACTTTATGTGTTTTATCATGAAAAGTAACTCGGCGATGAAGTTAATCATTAGCATTCAGGTTTCATTGAAAAATATTTAAGAAATTATCTAAAAGACATAACTATGGTGTGTGTACGCTTACCATCCTTCTCGTCACACTTGGGACCTAGCCATCCCGGGGTACAGGAACAGTGGCCAGTAGCAGGGTGACAGCTGCCGCCGTTGTGACACTCACAGACCTGCTCACAGCCGCCTCCATACTTGCCCGTCCCACATGCTGAAAATCAAATCAGCCAATGAAGCTAACCCATATATTTGATGCCTACTCATACACACACAGACTTTTGAGTGCTGGCTTGTCTTCTTAACTCTATACAGTATTGTATATACAACCTGCTACCACTCTGTTGTATCATATAAAGTGCTAAATTGATTAAGAAAAAGAGTGATCATTCATTAATTAAAATCTACTAATTGCAATATGAAGCCCCAAGGAGGTTGTACTTGTATGAAACTGATGATACTTACGCATAGCACAGTATTCTCCCTTGAAGCCAGGCGGGCACTGACACTCTCCGGTCTCCCTGTCACACGGGTACTCCCCACACTCACACTTCTCGTTACAGTGACGTCCGAACTTCCCTGCAATAATGAGACATGTGATATATACAGCACAAATTTCTACACCCACAGTATTTGTACAACGACCAGACGTACATTTTTTCTACAATGTGTGTTTTTTGATAATAGATTTCACCCTACAAGTTCCTTTGTCCATCTTTATAGAGATCTCCTAGGCTCTCAACTCGTCTTCATGCTATGTTAACTCTGAACGACTCCTACTTAATCATGAGTTTTGATTATGTCGGTACAAAAGAACGAGCGTAATAGAAGCAGGAAAGACTACTGTACAGGAACAACATTGTAGCAGTGAGATAAACTTCACTGCGGGTTAATGTTAGAAGAAAAAAGTGTGCGTGTTGCTGGAAAGAATTAGTATGAACAAGCCAATTAATATTGAGTCTAAAGTAGGCATGAGCAAGAGCTGAACCTTGCAGAACTCCAGCATCGACAGAAAAGTAGACTGGATATGAAATGTCCACAACTGCATGGATGTTGCACTTGCAGGGAAAGGAGATCCAGGAAATAGGAATACCATGTTGACAAAATAAGGAAACTCATCTGTAGAATCAAGCAGACAAAATGGTGAGATTTGCTTAAGTCGTCAGAAGCACATTCAAACGTATGAGAGGAAGTGGTGGTCTTCAGTGTGTGAGTTGTTGTTGCTTTGTAACAGTTTACTTGACTTTAAAAATGACTGACGTAAGATATACCAGATCAAAGCATTAAATGGACTGAAAACTGGTTAATCTTAAGGTGAGGGAGCAGATGAGAGGATTAAAGAAGATACAGTTTAAAAAGGATACAAGTATATCCTGGTGATTATTTTTGAAGGTAGAATAACATCAGGTCCTGGGGACAAGTGTTGACTAAGTGTACACCTGCTAGAGATACATTCGCCCAGGGAAGTTGTAAACTACAGCAAGAGTGAGACAAGACCTACACAGGAAGCTAGCACACTCCAGTATAAGAGGAAACTGACCTGGGGGACAAACATCAGCACAGGTGTCGCCGGTAAAACCAGGTGCACAGCGGCATTGACCAGTCTGGGAGTCACAGGTGGCACCGTTGTGGCACTCGCACACACTTATGCAGTAGATACCGTAGAACCCAGCCGGGCACTCTGGGGGAGATGTCAATATGACATTGGCACTTTCATACACAAATGGGTATGTCAATAAGATGAATACAGTAAACTTTAAACACTAAAACTCCATTATCATGTGACCTACCTAGTTCACAGTAGCGGCCATAGCGGCCCGGGCCACATTCACAACAGCCTGAGAACCTGTCACAGGACACATTGTGGTGGCAGGCACAGTCCAGTTGACAATTGGGACCATAGCGTCCTGGGCCACATGCCTGGCTACAGTCTGGACCCGTCCAACCGATGCCACACTGACATTCCCCAGTGGCTGTCGACATAACTCGGATATTATTACCCAACATAAGAACATAGAAGTCTACAATAGGCCGGTTGGCCTGTGCATTACATATGTATCTATTAATGTGATTTTAAGATGTGTTAACTAAAACGTCAATCAACACCCATTGTTAAAATGTTTTCTTTTGTAACAACCGTTCTTATTGGTTAGTCCAGCCTGGCAGCCATCAATATTTCATTATTTTGCCAGATATTATCGAACCTTAGTTTGGTGTTAACCTTCCATAATCTCACGTAATGTAGAAACTCTAATTACTGGAATCAAGTAATCATCACAGGTTGTCGGCACAATAACATTTTAGTGATGGATGCCGCGCTCTGTAACAACAAAATAACCATATCCAATTATTAATACCGTATGCAGTTTATGATACGTGTCTCTCTGCCAAGGTATTTCTGGCCTTACATAACTTCTCTCTACAGTATAGTGTTTCTATTTATTTTCTCTCACTAGAGTTGGTACAGAAAATATGCTTGGAGTCACCATGAGGTAGTGAGTTAGTTACCTGGGTGGCAGATGGCGTCGTTGCGGCAAAGGCAGGTGGAGGAACAGCGGAGGCCCCAGGTGTTTTGGGGGCAGATCGTTTCACAGTGCTGTCCTGCGTACCCCGCGGGGCACCTACACTCCCCGGACCTGGTACACACACCCCCGTGCTCACACCCACAGGTCTGTCACAACAGCCAAATATATTATTTTGCATTACCATTTTCTGGATAATAAACATACAGTATATACACTACTATATATATATATATATATATATATATATATATATATATATATATATATATATATATATATATATATATATATATATATATATATATATATATATATATATTCATTTTTATTTTTTTACTACACTAGGTGAAGTTACTTACAAAATGTTCTCAAAAATCCTACTGGTGTGTTACATGTTATAATCATATTAGAAAAATTAGTGAAATACTGCAACAGCATGAAGAAAAACACATATTTGTAGTGAAGCTCTTTTTCTAGAGCTGGAGTTGAGGAAAACTTCCAATATTCATTGCCAACACACTTCATGTTATGTCAGTCACCTCATAATTTCTTTTTCACTATAAATACAGTAGAGAGTACTGAAAAAAAATACTATTTGGTAGCATTAACTTATCTAAACGGGATTCTGGCTATGGTGCTTTATAAATATAAATGCTAGTAGCAGACCTGGAGATGGATGTGAACCACTGATTTAAATTAGCTGTTGTCGAATTTTTTCCACTATTTTTTCTGTGTATATTATAACAAGCTGGATGATCACTGTTCATCACACCAATACACAATGCAGTTCACAATTTGTTTTAACAACACAATAGTGGTTCTGTTTTGACTCCGGAGAACTGCCAGTAACTGCGATTTCAATACCAACACTTTGGGCTGGAAATATCAACTGTTGACAGATGAAATTCTAGCCGCCTTTAAGCACCCACTTAAACTTCATGGATTAATTGTGTACAGAAGGCACCCTGCACACAATAAAGATACCCTGTGTAAAGGACAATCCTGGTCACTCCTATGGCTACTCGCTGCAACTCGTCATAGCTGTGGCTCAGTAAGTTTGTGCGACTGTGTGTGTGCAGACAGTGCAGGAATAGATTACAGCTGTACTGTTGTGTTTTACCTGGTTGTAGGTGGAGTATACAGGTATTAATTCAGCTAGTTACAACTATAGGGGAGTTACTCACCTCGTTACAGCCAGAGCCAAAGGTGCCGGCAGGGCAGGGGACGGAGCAGGTGGGGCCGTAGTAACCATCGCGACACTGACACTGTCCACTCACTGGGTCACACGTCCCGCCGTTCTCACACTTACACTTCTGTAAATAAAAAGATCATCATCACCAGGTGATTCCGGGTTTAATGATGAGACAAAAGTTACACCAACCTCTGGAATATGTGCACTGTGCTTCAAGGAAGGAAAATTACATGCGGTAGAGTTTTATAAAAATTAAAGTTTTTTCGCAATACCATTCCATATTACAAAACATAAAAATAGTTATACTGAGGGAGTTTGCTCTTCACTGTACTATATGTAGTGATGGTAACTGACCTGTTTACAGTCGACGCCATATTTACCGCGGGGACAACCTCTTCGACAATTGCGTCCTCGGAGACCTGCAGGACAGAAACACTCACCAGTGACCGGGTCACAGAGGGATGACCTAGCACACTCACACTCCTGGCGGCACTCCTCCCCCCACCATCCCTCGGCACAATCTGTGGAGGCAATGTCAAGTTAGAGCCATGGGTGTGCTCCCCGTGGACACCTGCATTAGAGCTAAGGACTTTGTAACATTATTATTCACCTGGTTATAGTACTTGTGATATACTATAGTTCGTGTCCTAGTGTTACTACTGGTGACCGAATCACATAATAAATTTATTTTATATATCGTTTGACGATTTTTCAGCTTACTAGCCACTCGGGCAGTTGGTCTGTTTGTTACAACCTTTGTCAATGTTCGTGGAGTACAGGAAGAAACCGGAGTACCTAGAGGAAACCTGTGATGTGTGGTAGGTAAGACCTGTCTCACATGTCTCTGGAGAGGAACCAAACTGAGGACACAGTTATGAGATACACATGCTACCAGTGTACCACCAGTACCCCTATTGACCAAATGATATTACTGTACTGTACTATTTATTGACTAAGTCCTATAGTAGCTTCTTTGTCAATGCTAGTGGTTAAGTATAAATAAGAAAGGTAAATGTGGGTACCCACACTCGTGACACTGGTGACCCTGGCGCCCTGGGGTACAGCTGCAGGCGCCGGTCATGTGGTCACAGGACTGGTGAGCCTCGCACCTGCACCGCTCACTACAGTCTACCCCGAAAAACCCAAGAGGACAAACTGCAAGTACGAAAACGAGACCATTATGAGTTAACTTTCTTTTTAATCTATCTAAAGCATGACAGATGTGGTTTGACATGTTGGTTAACTATATATTTAAGTCATGGCAAATGTGGTCTTATATCTGCTATGCCTTTATAAAGCAAACAACAGCTCAGATAACACAGACCTGGCAATGTTAACACTTACTAAACTGGCACCTGTCTCCGGTGAAGCCAGCAGGGCACTGGCACTCGCCTGTAACTGGGTGACAGTTAGTGCCGTGCTCACAGTCACACACCTGCTCGCAATCACCGCCCCAGAAACCTGCGGGAGAAACATGCCCATTATTTTCTTCACCAAGAGCTACATATTGTCTCTGCCAGAGACAACATGTAGCTCTTGGTGACTTTGTGTTTGTGTGTAATTTGCTTCTGATGATGTGCTAAATAAATGAAAGCGCTTAAGTAAATTTGCGATTTTCTTTTTCCATGTGGTTTATTTATATATATACATGGGGGCCCCCAAATTCACGAGGGTTAGGTTCTCAAAATGGCCGCAAATAGCCAAATATGCGAATAACATTTGCGGACCGGGGATGGGGAGGGGTGCATTTTTACTTGTGCACAAAGCAATGTATATTCCCCTTATGTGTTTGCCCGGCACCTTAAGACAATTATTTCTTTTACCTGTAGTATTGTGTGTATGTGTGTGTGTGTGTGTGTGTGTGTGTGTGTGTGCGTGTGTGTGTGTGTGTATGCGTGTGTGTGCGTGTATGCGTGTGTGTGTGTGTGTGTGTGTGTGTGTGTGTATGCGTGTGTGTGTGTGTATGCGTGTGTGTGTGTGTGTGTATGTGTGTGTGTGTGTATGCGTGTGTGTGTGTGTATGCGTGTGTGTGTGTGTATGCGTGTGTGTGTGTATGCGTGTGTGTGTGTGTATGCGTGTGTGTGTGTGTGTGTGTGTGTGTGTATGCGTGTGTGTGTGTAGATACACAAAACACATACAAATAAATAATAATTGGAAAATCATCTAACAAATAATCAGAAACAAATTTATTAAAAATTTAACAGTCTACCCTCAAGTTCGTGCTTTATCAATAAAGTACTGTACTGTAATAGAGCACGAACTTGAGGGTAGACTCACATTTTTAATAAATTTGTTTGATATTTGTGAGATGATTTTCCAATTATTATTTGTGTGTGTGTTTTGTGAGTGTGTGTGTGTGTTTTGTGTGTGTGTTTTGTTTGTGTGTGTGTGTGTGTGTGTGTGTGTGTGTGTGTTTTGTGTGTGTGTGTGTGTGTTTTGTGTGTGTGTGTTTTGTGTGTGTGTGTGTGTATACACACGCACACATTTACAATACAGGTAAAGGAAATTACTGTCTCTAGAACGAATGACTGTCCCAGCCGCGAAAATGCCGGCAACTTTAAAACTACCCGCAAAACATTCTTGGGTTCATCCAGGATGTTATCCGCGAATAAATGAGAACCGCAAAGTTAAAATCCGTGAACCTTGGGAGCCTGCTGTACATCATTATATATCTCAGCATCATCTGCAAACATTTGTATGGAGGATTGTATAGCTTCTGGCATGTCATTTGTTTCATAAATGACAAGCCAGAAGCTATACTCCTTCACATAATGTTCTGTGGACAATGCCAAGCTATTCTTATTCATGTTAGTACTCACCTTTAAGGCAGGGTTTGTGGCAGTGTTGGCCGCGCCAGCCTGGGGTACACTTGCAGGCCCCCGTGACAGGATCACACTGGGCGCTGTGTTCACACTGACACTCCAGCACACACCCGGGGCCATACCTGCCTGACTCACACCCTGAGGAACCAACAGTGTAGGCTCAGTGAATTATCACACAAATTATAATTTACTGAACATCAGATGGAAAAAGTTTTGCAAATTCTTATGATGTAATCAGATAAACACTAACCTGTCTCACAGTATGTACCGGAGAAACCTGGTGGACATACACAGGTACCAGTGTCATGCTGACAGCCGGCGCCATGCTGACAGAGGCAGGTGTGTTGACAGCCACTGCCATAGGTTCCTGTGGGACATCTGTCCTGACAAGTGGCACCAATGAATCCAGGTGGACACACACAGGCGCCAGTCACACGGTCACAGGTGCCCCCATTGTGGCAGAGACACACATTCTGGCAGTCACTACCCCAGCGGTCACCTGAACAAGCTGAGAGAGCAGCAGGAGGTTATTAGTTGTGGTATTGGACACTACTCAAAGTAGCAAGATGACGTTTATCAACGCAGTTCCAATATATGACCAAAGATAGATCTTCAAAGGATTCTGTTAAAATTCATTTGTGGTACTCACTCTTGGAGCAGTGTTGACCATGCTTGCCGGGGGGACAGACGCAGGCACCCGTGGCAGGGTCACAAGTGGCACCAGTATCACAGCCACAATGGTGGTGACAGTCAGGACCCCAGAACCCGTCAGGACAAGGGCGGGAGCAGAAGGTGCCACGCCAACCTGCAGAAGATGTGAGCAAACCGTATTAACACCAGTGGCGGCTTCACTAACTACAGCTGCATCTTTGTTAAGAATTATAATCCAGAGTTCTCCAAATTAATGTAAGTATAAGCGGTTCATCTACAAACTTTCTGCTTAAAAATTCAATTATTTTTTACAATTAACTGCACAAATTTGAAATAAAAATATTTGTGAAGTTTGGGTGCAGGTTGTGCAGTGAGTGACCGTGTTACCTGGTTGGCACATGCAGGCGCCGGAGATGTGGTCACATTTGGCACCGTTGGCACAGCTGCAGTTCATGGCACAACCAGACCCATAGCTGCCAGTCTCGCACGCTGGGGACAAGTGTTCATGTTACATATGTGAAACACTAACAAAGACATTATGAACAATCAGCAGCACCTTAAAAGGTGTAAATTAGAGTGGGTACTTACGGAGCTTGCACTGAAGTCCTCGCCAGCCAGGGGCACACGCACACTCGCCGGTCACACGGTCACAACCGCCACTGTTGTCGCAGTGGCACATATGCACACAATCTCGGCCATATCTTCCCAGTGGACACGGTTGGCCGCAGCTGGGGCCAGTAAATCCTGGTAGACACTCACACCTGCACACATCACCACAGAGTTACACACTACAACAGGACCTAATGTAGTACGTCTGGTTCACACTGATAGGAAGGACCCACAAAACCCGGAACTTTTACCAACTTGTATTAAGTAAAGGTTGTAGCCAAGAATTGTCTAATCAGGAAGTATACCTCCCTAAGAATTGTGTGATGGCAATTAAGCCTAATACAGTACAGATACCTGGTGATTGTTTTAATTGTTCGCTCTGGTGTGCGGTAGTGTCACAGTAACCAGCTGTTGCCAGCTGTATTTCCAACTTTGAATGTTCCGAATATAATTTTGCTTTTATTTTTTTAGAGGTGGAATGTGATTTTTCATAATACTGGGTTAAAAAAATTATTAATATATGGTAAAACAGTTTTTCATAAGAATATTGTAAGAACAAATTATGTAATTCAAATTTTAGTATATTTTCAAGCGAAATAATGCAACAGATTATCACTAAGGGACGATTTCCCCCCTCCAAGATTCCTGTACATACCTCCAGGCTCTGGCCCCAATAACTTCCTCTCTACTACCCTGAGGACTCTATACCCACCTGCCGGTGAGGTGATGGCAGGAGGCGCCATTGAGGCAGCTGCAGGTCTCGCCACAGTCCACACCAAACCTGCCAGCAGGACACTGCGTCTCACACGCCGGACCCTGTGGATCACACGACCTGTAGCCTCATGTACAGAATCTACAGACTTATATGCCACCAGTACCGGGACCAGTACCGGGACCTATACCGGGCCGGTACCGGTTCTTGTGACACGAGTACCAGTCCCTATCGGCTGTATATATATATATATATATATATATATATATATATATATATATATATATATATATATATATATATATATATATATATATATATATATATATATATATATATATATCAGAATATGTTGACTGACAGTATTAAGGGCCAATTCTTTAAACTAGACAGTATTTACATCATGTGTTATGGTAATATTTGTATATGAACAGCCACTGAAGCTGGGTAGGTGTGGGCACAGGTACCCTATGTATCACTCACGACAAAGCCTGACGTGCAGTGGCACTTCCCACTGACATGATCACAGGAGGCACCGTTCATGCAGTTACACTTCATCTGGCAGCTCTGGCCCCATTGGCCCTCTGGACAAGCTGGTGGAGACAGTTCCATTATTATTCTCACTAGCTGTACACTTCCTAGATTTAAACGGTAAATATATAGTTTTTTGGTTCCCATTTGACAAATCTCCAAAGTGCAGTCTCGTGGAATTTCACTAATATTCACCACATGCGATGTATGGTACTACTATTATATATGTAAATTTCTGGGTGTAGGCATTTGAGGGTACTCACGCTGGAGACAGTTAGCGCCGTGTGTGCCGGCAGGACAGACACAGACACCAGTGGCCGGGTCACACGACCGTAGTCCACACATACAGGTCTTCATACATCCCGGACCATAGTGACCAGCCTCACATGCTGCCAGGAGGGATTACTGTCATACGCTGACTGGCCAGATTAAGAAAACTACCCTATACAGTGTAGCTATTTAATCCAATATGTCATTACTATAGAGTAAACATAAGAAAAATTTGGGGGAGTTTACGTGTGTTACAGTCGAGCCCAGTGAAGCCTGACGGACAGTCCTGGACGCAGACACCTGTAGCAGGGTGGCAAGTGGCATCACTAGCACATTGACATTCGTGCAGGCACCCAGCACCCCATCGGCCAGCCGGGCACTCCTTGGAGCAGTCAGGACCCACATATCCAGGTTTACACTCGCACACACCGCTCTGAGGAAGGCGAGAATAATCATACCGAGAAAAAAGAATTAAGAATTTTGTTTGAGAATAGGACGACTCTTTATGAGACAGACAGGTTACTGAGGTCAATACCGGAGAGGTTATGATAAAAGGGTGTGAACAGTACATAGTCAGTGCCATTATAAACATCACCTACTGCACAAACATTTTGGATTCAACAGTGTGTTGTGTACAAACATATAGATGCAGAAGTGCACCTGAAAAGTGAAGTGAGGGCCTCACCTCAGCATGACACTTAGCAGTGGTGCGAGCCTGGCACTGGCACTGATGGCGGCAGTTAGGGCCCCAGGTGAGGGCCGGGCAGGGCATGTTACACTTGGGCCCGAAGCGTCCTGGATCACACTCACAGAAGCCGAAGACTCTGTTGCAGCGCATGTTGGGGCACATCATGGGGCACCGCCGCTCACACTGCCCACCGAAGTACCCTGACCAAAACAACAATCTCTAATTGTGGTAAATTTACGCATCCATATCTTACTCCCCTACAGTGATAGCAGCTATGGTTGTGACACCACTGAATATAAAGAACAACTCTGGACCATTATACTCCTCAAATATACAACTGTTGTAGTGTGAAGAGACGAAGAAATACAATGGCCAAAAAAATATTAAACAATTATTTTATCCAAAACAAAAACATTATCAGTATCACTTACCTGGAGGATACACCTTAATAACGCCGTCTTACTCACCTGCAGGACATCCATCTTGACACAGGTCGCCAGATACGCCAGGTGGACATGTGCAGTTTCCGGACACAGGATCACACGTGCCGCCATTCTCGCATCGACACACCTGTAGTGACTTCTGTCATCACCAACACTCAGTTAAATCACCAAGTAGTTTACAGGTTAGCTTATAGGCATATACCTATATTAAATGTAGTTATGCCATCATTAGAATCCTCACTAATCTATGCCACGTGAGTTATCCTCCGAGATTGAGAAAGGGGAAAATAGACTTTATAGCTTTTAGAACTTAATAGTTGGTGATTGAACAATATTCAAAGTTACCTAAAGTATATACTGTACCTGTAACAACTACACGTCACCACGTTATCTGAGACACAAATGTAACAACCACGCGTTACCTCTATTTTGAGGTATCTTGTATACCGTACATGTCATACACTTGACCCAAGAAGGTGTGGCAATACATGGTGCGGCTCACCTTGTTACAGCCTGCACCATAGGATCCTGTTGAGCAGGTGAGGGAGCAGGTGGGGCCGGTCCTGCCCATGGGACACACACAGCCCGACGAGTCACACTCGCCAGGACAGTCAACACAGGTCAGGGTACAGTTGGGCCCGAAGTGTCCCGGGGTACAGCCTGGAAGAGGAGTGGGTGGCGGGCCAGTTACCTTGTGACATATCTGTCTGCTGGAATATTACCATGAAGTTCTTCCTATTGCGGGGGATTTCCTTATGGTGGAAAGTTAAATTAGTCAATTATTTTGACCTTGAAAATATATGAAAGATTGTCCAACTTCTTAATAAAGAAAATAGTAAACACAAATTTTTAACATGTATATGACCACAAAACAGTCAAGTATAGAGACATACAAGACACATTACAGTAAGGTTAGAAAGAAACACGGAGGCTTCACCTCACATAGCGGCGGCAAATAAAAGTATCAGAAGGGATCCAAGTTAATCAGAGGAGACAGACCAGGCTTCACAACGAGACAGTAGACTGGATAGCAAAATGGGAGACCTAACACCTATTGTTGCACCACAAAGTAACAGCCAAAATAAATGTCATAAGCTGTGAGGACAAAATAAGAATGCACCAGATGAGCATGACGACAGTAGCAGAAGATCATAGCTCGAGGGGTGAGTAGGAGCACGTAACCTACTACATGTAATAGAAAGAGTCAGCATAATATCACAGTTTATAGTCAACTGAGGAGGAAGCTTGATGGTACAGCACATGGTATCAGGTCACAGGACTTACGAGTGAGTATGGTGGTGACCTTGGCATGCTCAGCATAGGTGCTGTCGTTCCACGTGTCATAGGAAGAGGATGATGTGTCCCCCAACACCGAAGAGTCATCCTCCAGGATCGTGCTTAGGACCAGGTCCTCACTTTCTCCCAGGGACGTGGAGTCATCATCGTCGTCGTCCTCATCCGTGTAGTCATAGTTGACCACTGTGGGGAGGGACGCCAGGGTAGTGTCATTGTAGAAAATTTTCTTTGCACTCTTATTCGAAACTAACAAACTCAAATTAAAGTCAACAGGGCATTTTATTGCAAACAAATAGTTTGGAGACTCGTTCCAGGAGTGTTAGGCATATAAAGAGACTTTTGTTTGTGACAGTAGAATGGTATTCCTCCGTTATAAGACCTTTATGGGACTCCTATTCATTCCTTGTTTACTCAGCACGCATGTGCTATGAAGTTTTACGATAAATAAAACAACTATTTCGTGGTAAACAGTAGTCGGCCATGATCTGGGGAGTTTGGTAGAAATAATCACGTGACAGCAGATTGCTGGAAAACCTGGAGACCAGACACTTAAGGGGTCATGTTTCTTACTTAAACAAACGACCTAAGTTACTGAAAAAAATAATCACCCACTACAAGTTTAAATATATACATGTCTATGTCTTTGGACTTACTGTCACAGTGAATGCGGTTGACTAGAACATAACCCCTGCGGCAGGAACAGACAAAGGAGCCCTGGGTGTTGTGGCACTCGTGCTCACACCCGCCGTTCTCTCGCTCACACTCGTTCACGTCTGAAAGGAGCGAGGGTAAGGGTGGGTTACTTGACGATGGCCATCACAGCCTCCTGCATATTTATCCTCTTCACATGCACACAAATTTGAATTTTTTTTTCATTACTAATAAACAACACAGAAAAAGCTGTGGATCAGTGAGATAGTGCAGGGAGGGAGCCACCAACACCATTGAGAGTTGTCAAAGTATAGTTCTACTTGAACACTGTAGATAGGGCTCGCTTACCAGTACAAGTGAATGTGTCAGCACTCAGAGTGTAGCCCTGAGTGCAGGCACAGGCATAACCACCGGCTGTGTTGACACACTCCTGTTGACAGCGGTGAGTTCTCGCCTCACACTCGTCCTCGTCCTGCCACACATACAAGTTAAAAGGGAATACAATGCAGTTGGTGTGGACGGAGGGCAAACACGGATATTAAATGTATCACACTCAGGGGTGCAGCGGCCTAGTGGATGCAGCACACACGTCCTATCCTAAGGGTCACTGGTTCTGTCCTGGGTAATTTAAAAGCTTACCCAGCTGCAAATGGATAACTATCTTTATGGTTGGGGAAGAGAAGTAGGTCAAATGCAGTGCCCATCATGCTGCTTCCCTATATGTTGTATGGGACCTATTTCTATAATATATACAAAGATCCTGCATAAGTCTGGCCCAAAAGTACTGTAAAATACAAGATATTACAGGAAAGCGCCTCCTATACTGTACTGATGCGGAAACAACACGGCCCAAAATCGCCTGAGACAAGCCGTACCGTATTCTCTTTATCGGCAGCAGCAAGTAACTCAGGTGACATCATCATCACTCACCTGACAGCTGCGACGGTCAGGTTGGAGCAAGTAACCCGGATGACATGTACAGACGGCACCACCAGCGCCATGACGACACATGTGTTGACAGCCACCGTTGTTCTCCAGGCACGAGTTGATCACCTCCATGTCGATCACTGAGGGTAGAAGTCAGGTCACTTGGGGCAAGGGTCAGGTTACATTACTACAAGTTAGATAGAGGTCAGATCAGGTCAGTTGGAGTTTGTGTGAGCAGTGGCGAGTCATATTGCATTATAAAACTCTGACCACCATACTGAGAGCTCGACAGGTCGGCAGTAACAACTAAAGGGGGGGTTAGGAAAAGAGTATTGCTCTGGGTTGGATGTACCAGAGATGTGGTCAGGCAGATTTAATAGTTAGGAAAAGAAATCAGAACTTACTGGCTAGGAAACTCTTCAGAGAATGTGCACAGAGGAGGGGGATCAGTTGTGGTTGCTAGCTAGGGGAGGGTCAGTTAGCCAGCAGTTGCTAGCCCCAGGGAGGGGGGTCAGTTGTGGTTGCTAGCTAGGGGAGTCAGTTAGCAGTTACTAGCTAGAGGATCAGTTGTAGTTTCTAGCTAGGGGAGGGTCAGTTGTAGTTACTAGCTAGGGAGGGGTCCAGTTGTAGTTACTAGCTAGGGGAGGGGTCAGTTGTAGTTACTAGCTAGGGGAGGGGGGTCAGTTGTAGTTGCTAGCAAGGGGAGGGATCAGTTGTGGTTACTAAATAGGGAGGATCAGTTGTAGTTACTAGCTAGGAGGGGTCAGTTGTAGTTTCTAGCTAGGGAAGGGGTCAGTTAGTTACTAGCTGGGAGGGTCAGTTGTAGTTACTAGGTAGGGAGGGTCAGTTGTGGTTGTCTAGCTAGGGAAGGGGTCAGTTAGTTACTAGCTAGGGAGGATCAGTTAGTAGTTACTAGGTAGGGGGAGGGGTCAGTTGTAGTTGCTAGCTAGGGAGGGGGTCAGTTGTGGTGCCTTCTAGCTAGGGGAGGGGTCAGTTGATTACTAACAATAGGGGAGGGGGTCAGTTGTAGTTACTAGCTAGGGGAGGGTCAGTTAGTTGCTAGCTAGGGGGTCAGTTGTAGTTGCTAGCTAGGGGAGGGGGTCAGTTGTAGTTACTAGCTAGGGGAGGGGGTTAGCTTAACATTGTGGGAAAATAAAAGTTTTGACAATACTAATAAAATTTCAATTAAAAACTATATCTTCACATAAAATTGTTTAAGGTTGTGAATTTTATCCCAAGGTGTACAAGCAGACAGAAAAAATACGAAAATAGAAGGCTTTTTTTTTTAATTATTGGGATGCACAGTTGCAGCCCAAATGCCCTCAACACTTGGTAATGCCTTTCATTATATTTGACGTTGAAATAATGTCATGGAAAAAAAATGTAATACTGTATAAAGAAAAATGCGATTAAATTGAAGTTAGCATCCCAAGCAGCTTTACCTACCTGACCCTCAAGTGGATGTCAGGTAATCCAGAAAGATCACAGTTGTACAAATGCTTTATAAATATTACAAACTGTCCTAAAAGGTTGCTGTTCCTTCTAGTAACATACTGTATCCACGGTTGTAAAGGTGAGTAGCCTGGCTTACAGTACTTACTGTAACAAGACTTGTGGTCAGTTCCCAGCTGGTAACCAGTGTTACAGAAGCACTCGTAAGAGCCCCAGATGTTGCGGCACTGGTGGCTGCAGGTGCCAGGCGTGTGGCACTCGTCTAAGTCGACGCAGGACACCTGGTCATCAGCCAGGGTGAAGCCACGCCGGCAGGAGCAGCGCACACGCCCCTGCTCAACCTGGCAGCGGTCGTGACAGCCGCCGTTGTCCACAGCACAGGGGTCAATCACCTCACACCCACGCCCATCGTTACCCAACCCATACCTGTAGTGACAGTTAATATCGAACTTAATCACAAATATACTAAGAACACGGGAGAGATGCATTATACTTATTCTATAACAACCTGTGTGTTATTTGGTATTATACATATCCTGTCAACTATTCTGTGATACGTGGTGTTATGGTCTCATGGGTGAGTTACGCAGCCATAACTATTATCATCACTACCATTGTTCTCAGCGCCACCAACACCAGTTTTACGTCCGTTGTGCTGATAACCGTGGCCACTGAAAATTACAAGTGGTAGAACCTTTCCATCCCATCCATCACTCCTCGGCTAATCCCTGGCCGTCATTCTACATTCATTGGTTTGATTTTTTAGTGAACTCGTGAATTGGTGAAACATTTCGTGTTTGTGTTGTTGTTGTGCCCGTGAGAACACAACACCCGGCAACACTGTGCTCATGTAACATAAAACACCGGGTTACTGCATATTGCTATTGTGCCTTTGTCTATGTCCAGTATTTGTTTATCTATGCATATGATATACAGTACATACAGCAATAAAATATACTGTATACAATGAGTACAATGAGAAGCACAACGATGACAAACTTTAAAATCCAATGAGAACATTTTCCTAAGACTTTACACAGCAGTAACTAAAGAAATTATTAACACAAGCAGTTTTAAAGTTAATCAGTATAAATATCAATGGCTTCGACTCACACCTATACATGGGTATTAAGTCGTAAGAAAGACAATTATGATTACCAGACATAAGCGAATTTTACTTGAAGAGTTGGCTTGAAAATAAGTGACTCGTACTAAAGTCTTACAGGCTTATAAATTATTAACCTTCAAACTTAATAATTAATTAAGTGAATTTAAAGAAAGTAAATATTTAGGGCAGTAATGAACCAACTGAAAAATTGGTTTAGCAAAATTAGAAAGACAACAATAATGGGCTGAAATGACTAAGTAAATCCACATATACAAGATCAGCGAGAGAGAGAGTCATTAACAAAGGCATACATACCCAGGGCGGCAGGAGCAGACGACCCGCGCGGAGGAGTCGTTGCAGAAGTGATCACAGCCGCCGTTACTCGAGGTACATAGGTCCTCACCTGTTTAACACATACACAAATATCAGGTTACTGACCAAATGTACAAAATACCGATATATATTTATACAGAAGGAGCAACAAACTAACCGAACACGGAAAAACAGTAATTGAGGGAGAGGGCGTGGTGCAATAAGAATAAAGGGAAGGATAAATCGCAGAGAGAGAGAGGGAGAGAGAGAGAGAGAGAGAGAGACCAGGAATATAAAGTATCATCAAATGGCAATAAACACAGTAATTGATATATAGACACATCTATACAGCATTAACATCAGTCAGGTATTTTGGCCGGAAGTTACCTATGCAAGTACGGCCGTCGGTCAGGAGGCGGTAGTTGGGGCCGCATCGACACTCGTAGGAGCCCACCGTGTTGACACACTCGTGGGAGCACCCGCCGTTGTGGTAGTCACACTCGTCCACGTCTGTCGGTACAGCATCTCTTGGTAATATAGGTGTGGGGATGTAAGCTTAGTAAGTGGGGGAAACTCTCTTGTGTTATTCCTGATGTACTTGACGTAACACTGACAGCAATTGAAGGTTCACACATAATGGAGAGAGAGAGAGTTTTGTTTCTGCTTACAAAGGATGGCTGTTTTATTTACCCTTTGCTGTTTACTGAGGCAACATGAAGAAAAATAAGTTGTCTCATATTCGCACCCCCCCCCCCATGAAGAATTGCTCTTTCTGCTCAGAGCCAAAGACTGAAATAGTGTGCTTTTGGAAATCTGGTCGAGTTAGAGCTAAAGGGTTTTTAGGTTCTCGTACTGTACGTATCTTTAAGTCAAATCAGAATAAACATCAGATTTAGTGCAACTCACAATCAGAAATCCCAACCAAACTGAAACTGTTGTACATTGTGTTCGTTCCCAAACACATTATAATACCTTCAGTCATTCGCCTTATTCGTTTTAGTTCCGAGTTACCGTAAATGTGCATAGCTTTCTACAGCACGATGATGGGTTCAGTAATACCTGGGAAGTTGCAAGTATATTCAACTTTATTACCAGTGTCGTTCCATCTAGTTGTCGCTGTCTTTATTGCTTGTTGTTGTTAAGAAGTTTGAGCGGGAATTGTTGATGAGGTAAGTAGATTCTAAAAACATTTGTTGTCTCCTCATTCCATCGTAATATGAAAGTCTCCCCAAATAAACTTTGTCTAAAAAATGAGTTCATATCCACAGAGGGTTGCAAGGGCCACTGTTTGTTGACTTTTCCGACAAAACACACAGTTACGTCACAAAAAATATCTTGCAAGATTTCTAGTTTATCTATATAATTGTCATAACTTACCAATGTTTTCATCTCTTGCGTAGTATACTGACTCAACCTAACCACGGATTATGTGAATTATAAGTATGCATGGATGTACTTGTGCTCATTGGCTTAGAGGATAAAAGGCTCACAATCTGTCCAAATGGTCGTGGGTTCGTGACTTTTCCACCTAGCACTGAATCAATACCTATATTTACCATTGGAGGCGAGAGCAATCGAATACAGTCCCCGAGTACACTACCTCCTTGAGTATACTACCTCCTCGAGTACACTACCTCCTCGAGTACATTAACTCCTTGAGTATCTCTAGGGTGTTCTATCGACACTGCCCCTAACAGTTTTTCAGGCTTACGGGACCCACTTTCAGTCACATAACGAAGACTTTGTTAACCTAGACACAGTATTATGCCGTGGTTACAAACCGATCGAACAACAATGGTTGGGCATTATGAGAAATATATACAGTGCGAGGGGAAGCCGGTAAGAGACGTAGTGGACCATCAACAACAGGTCTGAAGGCACTAGAAAAATTGAAACTATTAATATCTTTGGCAATTTCCAGTCAGTTTTTTCTTTTTAAATTTTTAGGTTTCGCTTTTTTTCCCCCCCATCTTTTCTAACGGCAATTTTTTCCCTCCAATTTTTTCGGCGTTACTTTTTTCCTCCCTTTTTTTGGTGGCAATTTTTCCCTTTCAATATTTCTGGAGCCAGTTTTTATTTCCTATTTAACAATATAGACCAGTATTGGGGAAAACACAAAGACAATAACTAACTTAGACAGGCAGTAAGCATATTAAGGTGGATATACTGACAACATTCGACTCTTGAAAAATTCCCCCAAGACTTGAGAATCAACTTGGAAACCGAACCCACAATAGAGAAGCAGACTGAAATACAACATCTAATGACATCCTCTTCAGCTGTGAGTAATGAAGTAACAGCAGGGAGGAGTCACCTACCATGGCAGGAGCGGTTGTCGGGCAGGAGCCTGTAGCCGGGGCTGCAGCAACACATGAAGGAGCCCACAGAATTTTTGCAGGTCTGGTCACACCCGCCGTTGTTCTCTCGACACTCGTCTCGATCTGTCAACACAAACCAACACACTTACTGTCGACTCCAACAATATGATGCAAAATAACAAGCCAATATTTCATGTAAAAAGCTCTCTCAACTACAAGCTTTATACATCCATCATATATAATAAATTGAAAAAACTTAAAAAAAAAAAAACGATCTGTATGAGATTAAACAGGTAAGTAATAACACGTTCTGACAACCATCTTTACATTCTCACTGCGAGAGAAGGTTCAGTGTGTACCGCTGGCGTGTTTACCTTACAGCAGCATGCAAGACACGGCCTCTTTACCTGCATCAACCATTTTGTCTCCGTTCAGGTCAGTGATGTGTTGACAATGGGAAAACACTGCTTAAAGATGTCTGAATCACTGCCCAAAACAAACACACGAGTAAACAACAAACACACAAGAATGGGAGAGTAAAACATACAAACATACACGGAGGTAAAACATTATAAACACAAACATTGGAGTAAAACATTAAAAATAGACTTACACTCACGGTCGACACTCCCCACCTTACCAATTAAGACTCGGGGTGAATATTTCCCGCCATACATTATGAGGGACTTGGGAAAAAAAAAGGTACAGTACAATCTTCCTCATTCCCTCCCTCCTCGGCCTCCCTCACACCCCATCTCCTCCGCTTTCTTCTTCTTCTTTCCTATACATCATCAATAGGCGCCTCTCTCTCTCTCCTCCTCTTCCTCTCACACACCTCCAAATGCTGCTTTTATATCTCTCGCGCTTCTTATTGCATCTCCTCTCCCACACCCACTACCTACTACTGCTACACCCACTACCTGCTACACCTCCTCTCCCACGACCTGCTACCTTACTCCCACACCACTACTGCTACACCTACTCTCCCACGCCCACTACCTACCTCTCTCCCCGCCCTTACTCTACTACTGCTACTACCTATCTGCACACCTACTCTCCCGCCCACTACTCACCTACTCTCCCGCCCACTACTGCTACACCTACTCTCCCACGCCCACTACCTGCTACACTTACTCTCCCACACCCACTACTGCTACACCTACTCTCCCACGCCCACTACTGCTACACCTACTCTCCCACGCCCACTACTGCTACACCTACTCTCCCACTGAAAGCTATAATGGAAACCGAGGTTGATTTTCTACAATGTCTTGTCAGCGAGACCACACAGCTTGGCTCCTTAAGTGTTGAGCTTGGAGTTAAGGACATGATTAGGCATAGTGAAGGAGGGGAGGGGTGTGAAGGGAGGGAAAAGGGGAAGGGCAGCGTGAGGGAGAGGGGGGGGGGATGTATAAGGAGAGAGTGGGAAAGGGAGGGGTAGGGATGTAAGGAGAATGGGAAGGGGTTGAGTGAAGGAGAGGAAAGGAGTTTAGGGAGAATGAGAATAGGAATGGAAGAATGAAGGAGACAGGGAGGGAGAGGAGTACTTCAATACAGAAAAGCCACATTACTGTCACCCTCTTAATTTACCTTAAGACTGGGTAGAGGTGGACGAGAGGGATGTTCAGGGGCATCAACACCTTTTCTCCTCCCGACCCCACCAGCGACGACAGACACAAAATTTATACACGAAAATCTCTCTTAAAGTCTCTCACCTCATGGCAAATTCGCTTTATGGACAATATTTCACCAGAAGAAACACCATCAGACAATTCCCTACTGAGAAAAATCCTTCCACCAAAATAATATGCCAGGTAAAATCCCACCAGCTTAAGTTCCAAATACTCTGGTAAGTTATGTTAGCTTCGGTACGGTTTTTATTATACAGTTGACTAGTTTATCATCATATTGTTTGGACAGTTCTACCCCCAGGTGAAACGAGGACTTAGTGGTTCAGTTACACATTTAATAAACTGGCTCGGTACAGCCGCGGTCGATAGAAATTTATTCACATTTTGATAACAAGGGAATGAATACTTCACTATCAAGGTGTGAAGGTGATAAGAGTACCGTGCCGAACCCACTGCCCCCTTGTGTACCGACGGCTACATCCACATTGTCCCTGATGTTTTGATCCCTTGGGTAAACTCCTCCTCAGGGCGGCGGTCATACACACTATTATTATTTCATTTGCTGACGACCTTGGCACTAACACAGTAACCAACACTTGAAATATATTATTGAGTATTTACCAAGACGGAGATGCAACACTCCAGTGGAACAGCGTCTACTTGTTAATTCTGATGAACGTGCGGGAAGTGAAAGATCTAAAGGATACTTCAACAAACTAAACGAGAAAAAAAAGTAGGACAAGACAGAAATAATCAAGGAAGAGAAGTATAATGAATAATGAAAAAAAAAGGCGATTATTAAAAGGACAAAGAGGAAGTCTAGAATATGCAAGAGACCAGCAGGTAATGCAGTGCGAGTTTGGCCAAAGGCGAGGACCATGAATAGATAAATGGGCGTCTTTAACTACGTCTACGGAGGTACTTCCTTGGACGACCGGGACCACCCTAGCTTACACACACCACTGCCTTAGAGCCGTGAGAATCTTGAGTTGCCGCCACCTGCTAGGATAGTGGTAATGACACGTCAGGGATGTTGGGCCTGCCCACCCTCCTACGGCGGTTCATCACACTCTACTTCACTACGCCTCCGCCCAGGGCCCCTCAGTACTTAAGAGAGGCGGACACCTGTAGCCCTCACCCCGTCCTTAACACCCACTACAGCACTATAGTTACCCCAAGCGCCTTCTACCTTCCCATCCATTAGAGGTCTTCCAACAGGCATCTTCTACTTTCTCATTCACATTTACGAAATTCCTGACGTTCATATAGTTTCTCTCTCTGTTTACTACCCCGTCACATACACCTTCCTCACCCCTATAAAACACCATCCGTAGCCCTCCTCCGCTTACACACTCCCTCATTCAACCTATCTCACCTTCATCTACTACACTCCATCACTCTCCATCACCCTATCACATATTCACACTCCTCCACACTACCATACCCCCTCAACCTGTCACAACCCCACTCACCAACACATCCCAGATCCCGCACACTCCCTCAATCCATCATCGAACGCTACAAGTAAGTAAGAGACAGAATAAGGGAGGGGGGAGGGAAGGTGGCCAATGCCTGTGGAAGAGTTCATGAAGGGAGCTTGCCACCGCCCTCTCCCACACACTAATACCTTTGTTTACGCTGTGACGCTAACAGACTACGAGCAGGGAGCATGGCGGTCACTGCATGAAGAGTCAGACTGTTCATCCTGGATAAAAATATCGATCTAAGTTTTCTAAAGACAACCTCACGCACATTGGTACTCTTAGGGATGAGAGTACCATCCAAACACACACTACTAACGCCAACATCACTCTCACATACCACAAACATTACCACCACACCTCATACCACAAACATTACCATCACACCACAAACATTACACCACCACCTTCACACCACAAACATTACCACCCACACACCACCACGCTAATACGCACATCAGAACCATTACCTCCGCCCACACACACCAAGACCATTAATATTTTAGTCTGGTGTGGTGGGCTGCAGAGACATGGGTGTAAACGCTAACACTGGTAGAGAGATCTTGAAAGTGATAAAGGTAATGACTCCTGACCGTCTCTTGTTCTTCCCAGTGAGTGCCAGGTAGGAGACTTGAGGCAGTGTGTCTTGTTGTTTGCACACGCGCACGCACACGCGCACGCACACACACACACAAACACAGTCAAGTATATAAATTTATAAACTTGGTAAAAAGATTGAGAAATGAAGATAAGGATGATAGGAGGAAGGGCGGGAGGGAGGGAGGTGGCCGAACATTGGTGTTGGTTGCATTAAGGGCGGGAGGGAGGGAGGGAGGTGGCCGAACATTGGTGTTGGTTGCATTATGTGTGTTGCTGGGGTGTTGCTTTTAGTCTGTGTTGCTCTTCTGTCCAGCACCGTGCAGGAAAAAAAGAAACACGTGTATTTCCTGTATACAAATATCGTTGTTAATTGCGGATGAAGAGAACAGTGGCACGGGCTATTCCGGGAAAACATTTATATAACAAATAGCAGGACTCCCTTGTAGAGCGCATTAAATGTGATAAACGGCTATTGTAATAGTAGCTATAACGAACATGTGGGTAGAACATATCATGCTTACATAATACGGTGCTTAACTAACATCACAATTAATTTTGTATTTTCATATATACAAATATTCAAATGGAATGGCAAAAGCCTATTGTATGAGAAACCCAAAATGATAAATTTGTAATAAAAAACTTTTAACATTTTCTACGTGAAATTTTCTATTATCAAACATGATATTGGTTGGCGGAAATTTCAATATCACAAATGAAGAATTTTTACCGCTCGTTCACACGGTGTAACTGTGAGAAATTAATTGAAAAACAAATATTTGTGTCGGACACCAAAGTGAGATGAGGTGTGAGAGAGGTATTAGTGTGGGAGAGTGATGCAGCCAGGCACGAGGGGCACACCATGGCAGGATGTGACCATGAGACAGGGTGTGGCCATGACAAGGTATGACCATGAGACAGGGTGTGGCCATGACAAGGTGTGACCATGACAGGGTGGCCATGAGACAGGGTGCGACCATGACGTCTTAGGAGAGTTAACAATAAAAGGTACAGCATACAGGGTCGATTGTCTTCTTGGTACACGCCTGAGGCACTGAAGGAGTCGAGGAAGAAGATCAAAGGGAAGGATGGCGAGACGAGGTCAGGTGTTACACACGAGCTCCTCCACCAGTGCGTGACAGTATGGACGCCTGGTAATGGTAACTGAAGCAAGAACTTACCTGACAATAAAGACAAAATACCAAAATATCTACGTAAAAATGTCATCACATTTACAGTGAGACTTTGGCTTAACACAGAGAGGGAGAAAACAAATTAACGTAGAAATATGTCTGTGAATCCGCACAGCATGTAAGAGGTTTTATTCACCATACTGGCAACAGACACATATACAAGACAGGTGTAGGCTACTCATCACACTGGCAACAGACACAAGACAGGTGTAGGCTACTCACCATACTGGCAACAGACACATGCACAAGACAGGTGTAGGCTACTCTTCACACTGGCAACAGACACATGCACAAGACAGGTGTAGGCTACTCACCATACTGGGCACAAGACAGGTCTACTCATCACACTGGCAACAGACACATGCACAAGACAGGTGTAGGCTACTCACCATACTGGCAACAGACACATGCACAAGACAGGTGTAGGCTACTCATCACACTGGCAACAGACACGTGCACAAGACAGGTGTAGGCTACTCACCATACTGGCAACAGACACATGCACAAGACAGGTGTAGGCTACTCACCATACTGGTAACAGACACATGCACAAGACAGGTGGAGGCTACTCACCATACTGGCAGCGAGAGCCGTAGTAACCTCGGGGACAGATGCAGCGGTTGTAGACGCAGCGGCCACCGTTGTAGCAGAAGATGCGGCCACACGCAGCTGTAACCAGACAGATGAGCAACACTGCCCGCAACAAGTGCCGCCCCACACCCATCCTGGCCACACTCACACACCTGCCCTCACTACCCTTATGAGGTACTTCGTTTCCTCATTATGACAGTCTTTAGTTAATCTACACCTTTAAATATTTTCAAAATCCCTGTACCTATAGCTATATATTACCTGGCTTGCCTGTAATATACAAAAACATACATTTACACGGACAAGAATTACAACTTTGTTATTTGGCCGGAACTCTGGACGGATAATGAGTTGGATATTCAGCCACACCGAACTTAAAATCTTATGAAAATCATTACATCTATTTCTGTATACAAAGTTAACCTGATAAACTGTCTTGTGTTCCAGTTATCTTCGTCTTGAGAATGCATTACCAGTGCTAATTAAACTCATTGTGGAAACGATGGTAAACTAACAAACTGGAATGATTTTATTGACAGATTTGTATACAGGTAAACTCCAGTTATACAGGTGAGGTCAGACACAGTTGGGATGAACCAACACAACACAATTGTTCTTGTCAATTTGTCACTTGAGCCATTAACACTTGTCAGCGACCACGTCTGACCTGTCTTCACCGTGTATAATTGCCGAAACAAACACCACAGAGGTGCGTTGATCACTCCCCGGCAGGTGGAAATCGTAATCAAGGAGAGAGACCCTAAAGGTGTTTGTTTTGATGTAGTGTACAACAGATATCAAGCATGGAATAGGTGACTATCCAGCTCAGTACCCATCAGTAAATCCGGTAATATAGCAACAGTGAAAATCATATTGTACAGTTTGTATAACATCATCCACGACACAATGGTCATCTATTTTTGGCCCAGGAGATATATGGTTTATGTCACTTACAATTATCTTTTCAGTTATTCACCAACTTCTAAACACTTACCTATTTATTAGCTACGTCGTCACTCATAAACACATCTTCGAGTCACTCAAAAGTACATCTACTATTATTAATCATGAACCAATATGATCATGTTTGTATTAATGTTGTCACGTATTCCCTCCTAACCTCTCCCGGCGAAGAAATTATTTACTGTAATTATGGCGACGTGGGATCTTCCGCGGCCACCATGTTTTGGTTCACGGCGTCTGCTACACAGGAGCGTCTGTGGGTTTGGTTACAGCCATTGTGCAAAATGACCAAAAACCTAGCCTATTTACAAAAAGCCGAGCACACTGGCATTTTTGTTAAATTACTTGTAATCCTGCTGGCCAATTTGCAAATCAGACCAAATGCATCACTGTAGAATACAATGCAAGAAACATAGTGGTAGGAGGAGCTAGACAGGTTTTTAAAGTGTAATTAATCGTGTTATATACGAATATGACCGTCATCGCTGTAGAAAATGGGCCGTTATGGAGATATTACAAAAATGGGGGGGGGGTTAAAAAGGCAAAAAATGACAAAACCAAACCTAACCAGACTAGAAATACCTAACTTCCTAGGAGATGGGGTTCTGCTCTCCTAGATCCCCCGTGTGCAAGATACTAACCTTAATTAAGAGATGCAGGAGGATACAGATAATTAATCCACACTGACCAGATCTCTTTCTCTTCGTCAGCGTCCGTCTCTCACCACAGCAATAACGTATGGCGATCTACACGGAACTGACACTTGGAATCACATCTCTTGACACTTTACTAACGAGACGAGAATACCGTGAGCCCAAAAAAATTTCAGCGGCTGGGGCTTCGGTCTCTAAAACGCGCTGAGTAGCCATTCAGCCAAAATTCAACCTTCAACACACACACACACATGCCATCATCCACAGCGCGAGTGCCCACTCATCAAGACTTGCGCTGATTGGCCAATGAAAAATTACGCGCTTGCGCACGACTATCCCGTCACATCGACACTCGCGTTGAATGACCCAGTAATTAAAATATAAAAAAAGGAATATAACTTAAAAACTAGAAATATCCTACAGAAACGCATAGAATAAATTATATTTGAGTTGTTTTTTCCTCTAGTTCCCTATATAAGACTCACTATATAAGTAGGTTGGCAATTACACTCCTACATGTTAACCACGCTTGTTTTGTAAATTGGCCAGCAGGATTACAAGTAACTTCACAAGAATGCCAATATGCTGGACTTTTTGGAAATTGGTCAGACATTTAGAGTCATTTTACAAAAGGCCACAACATTTACTGTATTGCATGTCAAGAAATGAACGATCATAGAGCTTGCTTCCACAGTTTCACGACAGCAGGAGGAGGAGAAGCTGCCAGATGTAAGAATCATAACCCCTATTTCCGTGCGGGACACTACGTACTCCATGACAGTGTTCTTGATTTGGAAAACAAGATGAATTTCAAATAATTTTCTTGATCTTATGATACTGAAATCACTATAACTCGTCTTCCTCAGTGACAACAAACCACCATTCAAACATGTCAAGAACGCAATTTGTAACTTTTAAAACCTTCGTATAATACTGTATACAATATAGATCACTTATGAGAATCAGTCAAATCAATAGAGAAATAAAACCCATATTCAAATCATTTATACACTGACAAAATACATTGATAAATAACAGTCTGGAAAAAAAATCGAAATTCACGGCAACTCGAGACGATTACAACTATCACCAAAACTCCCCAACAAGAGTTTGTCAACAAAAGTGTGTGGACAGACCCTCAAGTTTCTGGGGCGTCCGTGTTACCCGAATTTTTTAAGAATCCATGTTAAAGATAAGTGTTCACGTCCACAACACAGGAGTGAGGATAAAGTTAATATCTTAGTATATCAATAACAACACAATCAACCATAACCTACCTTAACCTAGCTTAAATAACCCTTTTATCTAACTTTTATTATTCTAGTTTAACAATCTACCAGTAATCTATTGAACCTTAACTTATCCATAAAAAATAATAATAACATAATCTAACTAAAGCCGCTGACTCAGTACGGATATTCGAGATTGATTTCAGGGATCAGTTCCGACTCGAGCGTTGGTCCAAGACTGTACACGTGTGACAGGTGCATCTCACACTATCCTGAAACTCGCTCCTACTCCGTCTCAGGCGTTTTGTGATCAAATTCCCCTTTTCACGACAATTTTAGGCAGTATATTAACATCTAGAGTAGGTACACACTCGCCTCTGGAATGTAAATAGCTTTTCGTATTTACATGATGGTTGCAGAAAATCGCGGGTCTGTTGTATTACCGAAGTTATGAAAGAAGTTTAGGGAAATGTCCCCTGCGTGAGATGAAATGCGAACGACCATCTCACCCACGTCTTCTACCTTTATAATTCCTCCTCTTCAATGGTGCTTACTTGTGTTTTTTTTTTATCTTTTCCTCCTATTACTCTCTCGTATCTTCTCATTTTCATGCACTCCCTCCTCCCTTCTCTTTCATCTTCAACTCATTTTCTTAAGTTTTCTCTCCCACCCCTTCTCACTTCCTCGTTATAACCTGGGACTCTAACTCATTCAACCTAACACGATGAATCTCCTTCCATCCTACCTCATTTTTTTTTAGTTGTCCAGCTCTCACCCAACCCACACCGAGCCAACCCACACCGAGCCAGCCCACACCCAGCCAGCCCACACCCAGTCAATCCATACCCAGCATTCACCTTCATCCCCGCCCTCGTGCCAACAAGACCATAGTTCAAGAGGAGTCAAGCACACTGGTCGTAAACAACACGCTATGTTGACAAGTGTGGGCAAGAGGACGCCGCCGCCATACACCACCTCCCTGACCTAACTGAAGTGCTTCCATCACTTTGTATCCCTGAGTCACGAGTTGTTAAGGTTACGATATTGATCTAGCAGCAAACTTCCTATCATAATGCGTTATATGTAAAGGACAATATTCGCCAAGTAAAACATAGATAGTTTGTTAATAATAAAGTACAACACTTACCAAGCAACAGTACAAGGTTATAACCCACACCCACCCACACCTGATACATCATGAGCTTCTCGCTTTAGAGAGGAAGAGATCATCTCTCGCAGGATATTGAACCCGCTGTCATGTTATGTGAAGAACATGATGCCTGTCTTCACGTTACAATAACAATGAACGAACACTTACGCTTGAGTAAAGAGTGTGCCCTGAAATACTCGACTCATTCAGAAGACCTTACGATTTACTAACTGGTAAAGGATTGGGTGGTTGTGGCAACACTAGTAAATTAGACAAGTAAGCAGGGTGTCTTCACTTTCTTAATCAGGTCCTGTACATCGTTACTACAGCGTGTATCTACAGTTTCATCTCTTGGGTACAGTTGGGATCAAAAGTTCACTCCCGCCCAAAATGAAGCAGCATCGACCCCTAATGAGATGAAACAGTCAGTGTAAGTCAGTTCGGAGACTCATTCCCATAACTCAGTTTCACCCCGAGGAGTGAACTTCTATACCCGACTGTCCATAGGATAAAGAAAAATACCGACTACTATTTTAATTAAGAAAATCATATGAAATCAATGCATTATGGTCAATACTCTTCTTTCCAGTTTCTTAAAAGATGTGAAAATATTCGTGAAACTTTGAAGTGTTCAGTATTAAGTCATCGTACTCAGGTGCTCAAAGGAATAATAAGTCACTGTATTTAAGAGGTTAAGTCGTCGTACTCAAGAGATTGTTATAGAACTCTAGTCAGCATATTCGAGGGCTTAAATCATCGTCCTCAAATGCTTTTAAATCAACGTACTCAAAAAGCTAAGCCATCCTACTTACGGATTAAGTCATCGTACTCAAAACGTTAAGTCATCGTACTCATTGGATTAAAATTATATAAAACATTCATCATTCATCGCCAGTTTTCAGACCCCAAGTACCAAGGCTCTGTGTCCGCATTTAAGAGTCTCAAAGGAGTAAAAAAAAAAAATCTCAAACTATCTGTAAAACTTTTCCTAATGACGGAATTTGTTATTTCCTTCTGCTTGAGAATTTTGTTGGTGGAGGAGCAAGAAGCGATTTTTTCCTTGTTTTATTCATTGCATTAGAG